ATTGCAAATAAATGCGGAAGGACGAGAGTTTTGTAAGTGGGCGCTGGTTTCGCGAAAAGTATTTACGTAATCGATAATTGAATGAGGAGAACTGCATGTTGACCTTCAACATTCACACACCTTGTTCTCGCATCTTGTGAAAGCAGAGGCTCGCACGCCCGGTACCATTAAATTGCTGTACAGTGTTACGTTTCTTGCAAACACGCGTCACCTTGTAGCTGCACGTAGTAACATTTATAAATGTTCGACCTGGTTGTACGTTTAATTTATATGATACACATAAAGAAAGCTGAAACACGAACTTCTCAGCGTCTCGAATTAGGACGCGACGCTTTCTTGCAAATTTACATTTACATTTAATAATTTGCGCGCCGTTCACTTGAGCATTAAAAGATTTCGTCGAGGTATTTCGTATCGATTAATTCTAAGCTACATGATCTTGTCATTAATGAAAGTTAATGAGGAATATACATTAATGAAAATTAGCATGTCATTGGTAAACTGAAGATCTTTAAGCGATAAACTGGACACGAGAGATAATATATTTATACACCGGTGGTCCTTATTGGCCCACATAATCGTGTCGAATAATGAAATACATTTAAGGCTGAAATTTCTCATAGCTGATGATCCACAAGAGATTCATGGCCACTTTTATGGTAAGATCACGTCAACAACTCGTTAATTACGGTATACGAATCCAGTATGTCGTGTAATATACGTGTAATTTTGCAGAGATAAAACAATACTCTACAGACAGGAAAAATTATCATGCAAAATATGAGAAAATTGATAAACTTTCTCTATAATTATATTGATGTCTTAATCAACTTCTTTTCTCTTCGTCGAATAAACAGAAGATCTGTATCGATCTGATAATTAATGTAAAGTTTAATAATATGATGTATTTTAAAATAAAAACAAATTAGTAAAACATTAATCTAATACTCTTGTAGATTCCAATTTTGTGCGAATAAATTGCAATTGCGTAACATTTCAAATTTTACTTATTTACGATCGAGATTACAAGGTATTATTTAATTTGTGATAAATATCATTTAGTATTTTTGCTACAACATTTTATTGTATAATATGTATTACAAAACTTTTACAAAGGTTTTAGTCTTACAATCCTCAGAAATAAACGTACTGCTTTTTACGATCTTACTTAAACTTTGCGCTTTGTTAAGGGAATGATATATAAAAAAGATTTCTCGTGTTTTTATATCTTACTACCTAATGTTAAATGAAATATTGGCAACGCGCACTGGCTTCTTGGGTGCGCGATTAAGGCGATCAAATGACAATTAAGCTTCCAGAAGGAGGAATCGAGCGAGTTGGCAGCTGTTTTTCTTACATGCCCGTAACACGCAATTTGGCTTCGCATCTGAATGCCCCGTTACATGCTTAGTGATTTTATGCTCCTCTTAAGATGAGTGCACGCCCTTTATCATCTTATACCACTTCCGCGCGCAGATACGTTGCAAGATGTCAGAAAATTGGCTTCCCTCCCTAAAATTTCGGCGGTGCTTACGTAACTTGATTCCCGTATATACAATTCGGGCGTGCCATTAATTTCGCGTGCGAATCCCGTCCGACCCTTTTTCTTTTTCGTTTCTGCTTAACCGAACGTAATAAAGTATTACTTTTCTCTTAATCTCCAAAAAAAACGGAATAAGTATTTCGCGACTTTATTTCGCGTTAAAATTTAGTAAAAAATCCTCGAAGGAAAACAAGAATAAACACTCGCACTGATGATATGAAAAATAGCATAAAAAGAAAAAAACAATAAAGATTGAGATGAACATAAATTTAATTACCCATTCTCTGCAGAATCTGAAAATCTTTAATGGTGTAATTTGTTTCCTACACGTTCATGAATGCATAATTAACCCAGACTTCATATTTTACCTTTTAACCTAACAATATATGTTGGATAATATTTTTGCGGATAATTATCCGCGAAGCATAAGCGCGAATGCACATCGAATGGATACGCGAGTTAATAATTAGTCATAGGAGTGCGCATCGTCTCTCCCTCGTGTCTCGGGAATTC